TCATCTGCAAATAGTGATAATTTAAGTTCTTCTTTTCCTATTTTTATGCCTTTAATTTCTTTCCTCTGTCTAATTGCTCTGGCCAGTGTTTCGAGGACTATGTTGAACAGAAGTGGTGAGAGAGGGCATCCCTGTCTTGTWCCAGATCTTAGAGGGAATGAGGCTCCTGTTTAAAACCCTGTGAGGGAACTATTTGGCACCGCCTGATACTCAGGTCCAGTTGGCTGAGTGGAATTTGCTTTATAATCTAGCAGAAACACCTCCATTGCCAAGAGATTTAATTAGCTTTGTGTGTTTTTAATAACAAGTAATATGGTATTGGAATGTTAATTGTAGCCTTGTTTATAGTGGCAAAAAAAAAAAACCAACCCAAATGTTCATGAAAGGGAACAATTAAATAATTCTATAATACTTAATACCATGGGATAAAAAGAAATGAGATGGAAAGTAGCCTTCTGTATTCTGACTTGGAAAGATGTTTAAAATATGTTTTTAACTTAAAAAGGGAAATAGAATATCTATCACATAAAAACAGCAAATCACACAAAAACAGCCTTCCAAATTAATTTTATGTACTTTCTCTTGGCATAGTTATTCACTGGCAAATGCTAAAAAAAGTGTTTGGAAGCATGAATATCAAATAAATAGTTGTGGGAATGGGGCTAGGATTGGGTAATGTGCCAAGCAGATTTTTAACACCTAAAACATATCTATCTATACAATTCTTTTGTAATTAAATGTCTTTAATAGAAAGGTAGCAGCATTGTAGTGACTACAATATTACATGCTGAATCTGTGCTTATGAAATATTGCTGAATCAACATACAGCCAAGGGACATCTGAGGCGATATGCTGCACTGACATTAGAAAAGACAGAGAGTTATTTTTTAGTTTCACCTACCTTTTTCCACTTCACAACTCTAGAGCTGGCTACAAACACTGCACATGGGAATTTGATGTTGTGAGGTCTTTAAATGACTCAGGCCCTTGTGCCAACTGAAGGTCTCTCAGTTCCCCTTGCAAAATGAGTGACTCACTCGATATACTGATCAATGAGTTTACTACTGACACCTCTCCCTCTCTGACTGTCCCCTACAGGACTCTAATCCAGTGGTTACTCTTCCACCTATGAGCACCATTCTTAGAAGTGCAGGTCATACCTACTGATGCCTAGAACTTATCACATGTTCTTTTTCACATAAGCTCTTAGGCTGATGCTGATGCTTTTGTGCAAAATGTTTGAATGGAATGTACAAACTCAGTGGATAGCAACCTAATAAAAATCACCTGGGGTCAGAGCTATCATTAATGCTCATTGATATGAACATCACCCTGAGGGTGCAGGTTGTACTGTAGGAGACTGTGCTCTGATTTTGACTATTGAACATAAACAATTGCATTGATACACATTTATGTAACCCAGACACTTATCACCAAATCAACTGAAACTGTAATTTTTCAAGGGCACAGGCAATAAATGCTTCTGAATAGGAAATTGTAACTTAATCATTTGATGTTTCATTTTATATAAGTCAGTATATTCAGGACTTATACAATCTCAATAAACTGAAAAGAGGTCACTCCATCTTATTCCTGTGATTGCATCAGATCTGGAACAACTGTGACCTATTGTGCTTCAGATTCCTCTCATTAACACCAAAGAGAGAATAATACAATGATTCGGATTGATTTGAGTTGATGGTGGAAATAAGCAATTCTTAAATTACCTTTGGAGATTCCCAGTGCCCTTTACAATGTCCAAACATGCTGGTACATGCAAATAATCAAATATTTTTGTCTTTGCCTTCCTTCTCCATTAAATTTAATTAAATAATCAGCCCTTTTTATTTTGTTCTCCAAGGTACTAGATGCTATAGACCTCCCTGACCTATTACATTTTCCTCATATTTTGTGCTTTTATTTAAATAAATCATAGTTCATTCCTTCATCCAAAGGTATTCCTTCATCCAAAKGAATCCCTAACATCAGACATAGGAATAGTCAAAGTCCATTTCTGCATCTTTTACTCCTTTAGAATAATGATTTATAAAATTTGGTTTATATTATTAAAATTATTTAATATTTTAAAATTTAAAATATTAAAAAAAATTTTAAGAAAGAAGTACATAAATGAAAATTTCACTTCCTGCAGTGGATTCTGTATCCTGCAGCTGGCATTAGAAATGAGAAGAAACTTGGACAAACAACCTAGATTATTGTTAAGATCTTAATTCCCCTTCTTTCTCTTTTCTTTCCCTCCCATCTCCTTCCCTTCCCTTTTCTTCCTATCATTTTAACCTTTTTATATGAGAATTTAGAAATAGGCACAAAAGAGAAAAAAATAGTACAATGATCAATACTGTACTCATTACTCATCTTCAAAAGTTTTCAATATGTATACTTCTTATCCAAGCACAAAACACAGGCATTATACATCTTTAAAAGAAAAGACTTATTTTCCTTATCCTAACCAAAATGCCTTTATCACAGCTAAATATAGAATTCCTTTAAATCACTGGTGATAGTTAATTCAATGTCAATCTGACTGGGCTACAGGTGCCCAGATATTTAGTTCAACGTTGTTTTGGGTGTTTCCGTGAGGATGTCTTTAGATGAGATTAACATTTATATAGGCAGAAAAGCAGACTGCCCTCCTGATGTGAGTAGACCTAAATTAATCATGTGAAGGTCTGAATAGAACAGAAAGTCTGACAGTTTGATAGTCTCCCTCACGCCCAGCCCAGGTAAGAGAGAATTCTTATGACTGATGTCCCACAATGTGGGACATTGGCTTATTTCCTAGTCTATGGATTCCAGCCTAAATGTTGCTTCTTTCTGGGTCTCAAGCTTCTTGGCCTTTGGACAGGAACTCTACCACTGGCTTTCTGAGTCAGACTGGAACTAAGCCATCAGCTTTTCTGGGTCTCCAGATTGCTGATTCATCCTGCAGATCCTGAAACTGTCCTGTTTCCAATTCACATGAGGCAATTCCTTACTACAGACAGAAAGCGAAGCACACTCCTGTTAAAACTTGTAAGTTGAAAAGTTAATGAGCTCCCATTTTGACTCAGGCTTCCACATCTACAAAACAAAAAGCACATAAAAAAAATCATCTATTTGGCCTTCCTCATGCAGATGGAGTGAGTGTAAGAGGTAACCTCACATGAGTAAAGAGCTGATAAAGTATCAAAGAGTGAAGAAATGTCTATGTCAATAGCATCATCATCATCTTCCTCCAAGGTAACCTTCCTCCTTTGTGTATTTGAAACCAGAGTCTTAGTCCCAGATACAAAGTGCACTATCAATGCCAAGCTGTGCTGTCTTATTAAAATGAAGCACATGCATTACACAGTCTTGGATCAGAAGTAATTCTGTCAGTTGAACACGTGCTCAAAAGCCGAAAAGATTGACCCTCTCGAGGTCACTGCCTCTGAAACTCACCCAGTACTATTGAGGTAGCTCTGTCCAATGCTGCAGTCCTTTGAGAGAGAGGATGGATTGAACCAAAATGCTGGCAGGCACTGCCCATTGCTGTGTCGCTCATAGCCATAGTCACTGTGGGGGAAAGAGCCAAGATAAACCTTTCAGTAGCTGGAAAATGACTCGGAACAATTCCATGTTAGTCCACAGCCACCTTTTACCCTAGTCAGTCAAAAGGATGTATTCCCTAAATCAATAACTTAAAAATGGAACTTGCCTCTCATAGACTATCTATCAACAATCTATGAAAACTTCCTGCAGAATCGATAATTCCATTTAAGTACCTTTAAGTTAAAATAGTGGATTATGTTCTCATTAGAAAGAATCACTGAATGTAATTAGAAACCAGGCAGTGGTGGAAGCTGGAGCCCTAGACACGACTCCTCCATAGAGTTTAATACAGCCACATGTGGCACAGGCCTCATTACCGGTGATGTCTTTGGGATGTTTTTCCAAGACATCTGGATTTACCGACTAGAGCAGAGCCAGGTTTCCCTGTGCACAAACCATATGTTTTAAAGTCACGGCCAAAAAAATGTCCTTCAGAAGTGTCTAGAGCATCCCTTAGGAAAAGTTTTGTCCCAGGTAGTAATTGCTGCCAGTTGGGACTAACAGCTCTATAGCTTCTCTCTGGTTTGGAAACTGTCTGTCTTCTCTCCCAGTCCTCTCTGCTTGTTTCCAGGGGCCTCTGAGTGGCCTGATATTCTTGGCTTCTGGGAGATGAAACCAGGTACAGAGGATGACAACAAATTGCACCTCTGCATGCACAGACAAATTGCAGGCAGCAATCAGCAAGCATTAGTAGGAATTGGCCCATCTGTGTAATGGAGGTGAGATGCTGGCACATGAGGGGTGGGAAGGAAGACATGGGCTGAGCTCAGGGGCCTGTCTCCAGGCAGCTGGTACTTAGAATTCTGCACAAACCAGCTAGATTTGGTGCTGGTTCAACACAGCATGGGTAGTAAGACTTCAGAATCGCTGCCTCCAGGACACCCAGTGCTCACTTCAGGGAATTACATTAAAAATGCTGGCACATGCCTGGCAAGGTCACCTGGGGCAATGTCCAGGGAACCAAGCTAAAAGGGAACATTCAGTAACAACACTTTTATTACACTGCAGTCAGGTGGAATCACTGAAACCCCAGCCACCAGTAAAAGCCCAACAACGTCACRGTGAGCCTTCCAAAATATTTTCACAAATCATGCAGTTCCCCCAAATCCCATATAACCAGAAAAACCTTACAATGGCCTTGTTTATGATTAATTTTCCTCTTGTCTGAATGCAGTTCAGCTGGTGAGATGAGTGACAGATCCTCATCACAAATGAATGCAAGGATGGGGCCAAGGGATAGGGAAGGAGAGAAGCCTGGTTGCTTTCCTTATCCTGGGTTTCCTCCACTCTGGAGTAGCTTTCAATTGAACATGAAGAACAGGAACAAAATGCTGGTTTATTTTTGAACCTTGCAGAAAATAAACCTAAAGAAGTGTCTCCAGGAGAAACTAGGGAATTGGGGTCTCTCTTCTTACTTATCCTCTTAAATTTTCTACCAGAGAATAAATTTGCTTTCTGAAAACAAATGACTGTTACATAAGGCCAAAGCTAAGCTGGTAGTGTAACATGCTAACTTCCTCTGCAAATCCTCCTTGAATAAAGTGCATGATGGGAAAGAGGTTTGTGATGACTGACTGAAAAACTCATGGTAAGTTTTCTTATAAAGGTATTTCAGGATGTCAGTGCCAAAGTGCAGGACAGGTATAAAATATTTTTGTCACTTTATTAGTGTTATGTTGCACTGACTACAACAGAAGTCACTGTTGGGGAGGCTCCTGGGGAAGTCCTTGTGAGCTAAAGTCATTGCAGCTCTATTGCCTTGGCTGACCCCAAAGAGATACAGCACTGGTTCTTTTTTTTATTATTTATTTTTTGGTTCCAGAGATTGAACTCAGGAAGCCTAACCACTGAGCCACATCCTCAGCCCCTTTATATATATATAATTAGAGACAGGGTCTCACTGAGTTGCTTAGGGCTTCACTAAGTTTCTGAGGCTGGCTTTGAACTCACAATCCCCCTGCCTCGGCCTCCCGAGTCACTGGGATCACAGGTGTGCACCACTGTGCCCAGCTGACTTGCCTTATCCATCAATAAAGGGGATAGCTATGGGTGGTTGTCAGACCACCGGAGCACAGTTTTGCCAGGCCTTCCCAGTACTACTCATTCAGAGAACATCTCCAGTGTCCTCCTGTTAGAGAAGGCAAAATTCTTCTAAAATATGATTATACACACACACACACACACACACACTATGTCTCAGTTTGATCACTGATATTTTGATGATCAGGTATTTGACCTGTGATGATTACACAGTTAGAAATAAATTTTTAAAGACCTGGATAAAGCTCTTATCCAGGTCACATTTCAATTGTTCAACATCTACATACCTATTTAGTGATTGTTTTCTCTAAAGTAAAACACACACACACACACAAATGCATAACTATATACAACAGAAATACAGAAGAAGATGAAAATAAATAACATAAAATGTGATAGAGATAATTACAAATGGAATGATTATTTACCATTAATAATTTGTCAACCTTACYTGACCACTAAACACTAAGAATAAAGTGAAGGTACTCATGTTTGGTCCATAAGCAAAGTTTCTGCTTAGCAAATGTTCCAGCAAGAATTCTACAGCACTCTGAGTTTCGTTTAAACCTCTCAAAGTCTCAGTACTTCTCCAGTTTTAACTAGCTTCTTTACCAGTTCAAAGATTCATAATGTCATCAAATCCATCCTGACAGTGAGTTCACAAATGTCTTCCACATCTCTATTAGCTGTATTCAGCTGACCACTGATTGAAAATTTTCAGAGACAGAGAATTTACTGCCTTATAAGACCATCATTTCCTACTGAAAACCCTGGATTCCAGAAAGAATTTATCTAGACTTTATCTTCATACCCTGCAAAGTCCAATTATTGTTTTCAAAGTTGCTGTCCAAAGTAACATAGGATAGATCTAGCTTCTCTTTTTGACCAATGTATCTATCAACTCTATGAAGATTATTACCAACTATCTTCTTAATCCTCTTTAAATCTAAAGAAATGCCTGGTTTTGTCATCACGTAGGCACATAGCTAGTAACCATGATGTCCCCAAGAGATAATCTTATAAGAATCCGAGGTTTGCCATGAGCCCTACATATATCACTATTATTTCCAATCTAAACTCTCTTCAAGGGCCATGTGTATTTGAAATATAGAATGACTCCATGAAATAATGGTGCCAGCTCACCAGTCAAAATCAGCTTCTGTGCAAACACAGGGTTCAGATTCCATAGCTCCTGCRTATTTTCCTTGCATACACTTCCGCTCGGATTTTCGCTTCTTGTATATCCTCTTGGCTCCCATGATGCATGCTTCCCCCTGTGAGCAGACAACCATCACACACAGCTGGGCACATAGCTTGTATGTTTCCTGTTCCACATTAGGGAAGGTTAGGGAGATATTCACAAACCTTAGGGTAACACAGATTCTGGTGTGGTACTTTTGTGCTAACCGCATTTTGGTTTTGATGTCTATCATAATATGTGACTATAAAGATAATCCTAAGAAGTACTGAGAATTTGTCCAATAAATCCCTAACTCTTCATGTGTTTAACAAACTGGTACTGGGGGAGGGTTACATCTTAGTGCTACGGAGGACACACAGATAATTAAGATAGATTATAACTAGTTGGCAAACCAGTAGTAATTAAGTTCAATTCTCCTCTAACAAAAGATTTATACAGTTGGTCATTTATGAGCATACGAAATACGAGTGTTGCTAAGAAATGTAAAGAACCATTTTGTTCCGATTTATTATGCTTCTGCCCACACATCTTTATAGCACTGATTTTATGTTCATCTACCAGACAAACAAGAGAGCTAAATTCAGTGTTTTCCATGAAATAAATAAAAGCTTTGAATATCACAATGCTTATGCATCCCAAAGGGGAAAATAGCAGCAATGGAAGTGAGTGATAATTTTATTGTTGAGCCTCTGAATAGGGAGGGTGTCTCTAGCTAATGCAGCGCCCACTGTCAAACATAGCTTCTTTTGTGCTTCTGAACAACGAGAGCAGAATTGTGTTTAATTGGTTCTAGGCTGTCTTTCCTGAGGCTTCATTACACATCTTCATGCAAATGCATTCCTTAGTCCAGGTTTGGAGCCTACCATGTTTCACTGCCTGAACAAAGTGATGGCTTTGCAATAAGAGCTTCCACTAGATCCTCAGAGAGGCCTGTAGAAATGGCTCCCGCCATAGAAAATTAAAGGGACATTTTCATCCAAGCCTTTTGATGTGAGCTGAATAACTAAGTAAGAGGCCAGGATGTAGGAAAGTTTCCTATTCATAATTCTGTATTCTTATACTTTGAGTACCTTAGAAGGAGGCAAGAAGTACTATGTATTCCCAGGGAATCCAGGAAATGGACAGGAAGGGTTTTTCTGGAACTGCTTAGGGAGCATTACTTTGTTATTTTATGCATTGCCTCTGTCTGAAACGGTAGATAAAATGGAAGATCTTTTCCTCACCCTGCCCCCACTGTATGACATGCTCAGATAAATTAAGTTTGAATCTCAGTGCTGAGTTGGTATTTCATTTTGAGTTGTAAGTCTAAACCAAGCACATTTGAATTTTATCTCATTATATTCTAGCATAATACAACAGAAATAACTTCACAACAAGATATAAATGTTGAGTTTGTTCAATGCTGTGTCATGCAAAATATGTAAGAACGAACGAAAGGAAGAAATGGGCATTTTGGCCTAGAGATCTCCAGTTTCTAAGCCTGAAGGATGAGCTTTCCTTGAGCACCTCTCATGCCCCCTGCCCAGGGCTCAGTCTCAGCTGTCTTCCCCTTACCTGGCTGTGTAGCTGCCAAGGCCTGTAGTCCTCCTCGGCACACCGTCTGTCGAAAATGGACTTATAGTCCACTTTAACCAGCTGCCATTCAGAGCGGTGGCTGAAGTGTCCAAACACTCTACAGGGTTCATGATGATAAAAGTAAACACGATAATCACAATGGCAACAGTATTAACAAGAGCTTGCATTTGTTGTGTTAACTCTGAACCTGGTGTTCACAGGGGTGTCATGTGTTATGCCAGGCACATTATATGGGTCAAAGCTTTTAATTGTCCAAATACATTTATGAAGAGGATACCATTATGGGCTCCTCATTGAAGATGGATAACTTGAGGCTCAAAGAGGTTCGTCCAAACCAAATTCAAGCCACTAATCATGGGAACAGATGGATCTCAGGGTATTTAACTTAAGAGTTCACTTGTATATGTTGTACCACAACAATAATTGAGAAAAATGACATAGAAAACAGTCACAAGAAGTGCATTCTAGGTGGTCCAAGATTATACTTGAAAATTTTAGAGCTAATATACCCGTTTTTTGTTTGTTTGTTTGTTTTCTTTGTTTGTTTCCATGCTATTTGGTGTTTCCACCAGTCCCTAGGGAAGTAGACACCACAGCCAAATGGTTATGGCGTGCTCCTACATTGAACATTCTACTCTCCCTACTCAGAGACTTAGGTGTTTAATGCAGTGATTGAATCAACAATCATATGTGTAGATAAAAGCCASAAAGTGGATTTTTAGATCAGCTTTTTAAAATTTATGTTCTGCAAATATAAAAACTGAATAAAAGCAAATTATGGAATAAATTGCTAATCTAGCTATGTTTCCCATGAGCAAAAGCATAGCTATTAGGCATATTAAATTTTTCTTGATGTTTTCTATCATTGAAAAAAAGTGCAGTATGGGGTTAGAAARTAAGCCAATTATTTACTTCGATTTTGAAATTTTCAATGATGATAGGATCAACTACTTTGAAACCTTCCTTTTCTGTTTTTCCATGGCCAATTTTCTAGGGGAAGGAAATATCACAGTTTCGTATTCCAAGTTCAAAGCCCATATTTTGAAACCCATAGGCAGCCGAGTCATTAATCAAGTCTTTCACAAATTAATGATSATCACTTTTCAGACAAGAATGAGTGTAAATGCAATTTCACAAGAACAGATTGTTCTCATGGTTTTCCTAATATGCCTCACAATTGGGTTAGGTAAAGAGCCAGAGAAAAATAAAATCCCTCATGGGGTTTTGATCAAATGCTGTGTTCTGACTGAAATAGAAATTATACTTAGACGCCTGAGACTTTCTGCATATACACTCTGCTTATATTAAAATTTTAAATGCATAGTTTTATTTGCTCTTGAAATAATTCCTTCTAATTTCCCTAACTCATTGAATATAGAAAGAAAAGAGCTTTTCTCTTCTGCTACCACCCCCAGTCTGAATCTCCTCAAACCTATCAGAGCCAAGAAAATGATTGCCCACATTTTTTTTCGCCTTTTTGCTAGGGACTCCTGTAGCAGGGGGCACTGACTGTGATAACAACCTCAAACCTAACAGCAGCAAATCAAAGCAGACTCAGCTATAAAACATCTTTCTGGATTTACTCTCCTGTATTAAGGCTGAACCATACCATAGCTTTCCACTTACGTCATGATTAGTGTTTCTTCTCCCGGTTCACCCAGAACCCCATCCACAAAAAGTGGAATAGAAGTGAAACTGTATTTGCTCCAAGATCTCCCTTCATCAAAACTCAACCTAGTGATAGAGGAAAACAACAGTGAAGGATCTCAAGAGAAAATATAAAAAGTCCTTTCTAAGAAAATATACTCTCAACCAAGAAAGGATGCATTTTTAAAGGCAGCTCAGGCATTGTCAAAATGAGCCCTCCTTCCATCTGATTAGGTCTTCTTCATTATATCAAAGGGCACAAATACAGGTAGCCAAACCAGTGGGACTCRTGCATTAAGATCCCAATAAGGGAGAATTGTGCAAAATGGGAATAATAAGAGTCTCTGGCTGATTTTTTTTTAACTTAGATATTTTATTAGTCTTTAGACCTCAGTGTGACCCTCTTCAAATCCTCACTGGTATCTAGCAGCATGTGATCCTGAAGATAGATTTCAACAGACCTATCTCTAAATGGCAAATTCCAAAATGTGGCAGGTGTTACATTGTTATAAATCATAGCTCCCCTCATTGAATTAATGGATGAGAACAGAAGGATGGGCCCTTGAGAATGAGAGTGGAGAAGTGTGCCACTCTGAGGGTTACCATCATGGTCTGAATGTGTGTGCCCTCACATATGTTGGTAGTATTAGGAGGTGGATGCTTTGGGAGATGATCAGATCATAAGGGCAGAGCTCTCATGAACAGGGTTAAAGACTTATAAGAGCATCAATAATTGTTTTGCTCATTTCACCAGGTGATAGCACAGCAAGAAGGCACCATTTGGGAACCAGAAAGCAGAGTCCTCACCAGGCACTGAATCTCTCAGTGCCACCTTGATCTTGGACTTTCAGACTCCAGAACTGAGAGCTATTAATTTCTGTTCTTTATGAGTGAACCAGTTTCTGGCATTTTGTTACAGGAGATTTTCTTTTGCTGTCCTTCTCTGTGGATTTCTGTTCCCCAGGCTAAGCCTTGTTTTTTCTTCTGCAGCCTTCTCTTAAGTCATCAAAGTGACAACTTAGAGGGAAAACCAGGCTTTTGATTTCAAACAAGCTCACATGTGAGACATTCGCTTTCAAACAYAGAGGAAGAAGCCGACTGGACACCCCTCTGGAAGGTAGACCTTGCACATCCACCAGGGGACGACATACAGGCAAATTGGCAGAATGTCACCTCAAAAAAGGAAGCTTGGGAAGCTTCATGGGAGAAACAGGAGTATGACCATCATAAACGGCTAATCTCTGTGCAGAATGTACGTAACACATTCTGTATTTGAGGAGATGTTATTTAGGACATAACACCAAGTAGTTTAACTACTCAGAGACTGTTAGTAGTGAACATCCTTCTACCTGTGATTGCAATGAGAGAAAAAGGTACTGGTGATGGTTGTGACTATCCCATTTGAAAACCATAATGCAATTCTTCTTTTCAGAACAAAAATCACCCCCCCTTTTATATTTCTACCTTCCCCCTGCCAAAAAATACAGGCAACAATCTTCTTTTAGTGGAGCAAAGGTGTAGATTAAATTCAAGCTCATCTTGACACTTTACTAAGCACAGTCACAGTGTGATAGCCTGATTCCCAGGCCAGTCCTATAGTGCAGAACCAGCAGGTGCATGTCCCCCAGGCAGCAGGTGCCCTTACCAAAGATGTCGAATTGGAAGAGAAGTGTGTTTCATGGCCACCAGGACTCCACCTTGATCTAGGTACAAAACACTGTGCTCTTCTTCAAAGATCTAGATGAGGAAAATGAACACACATGRACACACGTCCACACACACCCACAGTACAGAGAATCAGTTTTCATATGAGAACAAAAATAGATCTCCCTAAATTTAGCGGGGAATAGAGCTAAACAATTTTACCAACATAGGCTACATGTACCATTGGCGTTATGTAAAATGATATTTAGGTATGAAGAAAATGAATTTAAAAACATCTAGTACGTGTTTGTGTTAATATTCTCTTATCATTAGGGTAATATCCATTTATTTTCATTTTTGATGATGTCAGAATATCAGGAAACTGCATATGTATCTCTAGATGGATGGAATCTTAAAGACTGGTTTCTTCAATAGTTTCATTTTTACAGATTAAAAGATTAAGGTTTAGACAGATGTAGTGACTTGCCAAAGACCATGCAAACAGTCCCTGATGGGACCTGGGACTTGTTGTGTTATGGTACCCTGTTCTATCTAATTATTCCAACTTTCCAAGTGTTACCAAAGAAAGGTACTCTTGTTTAATTCACAAAAGTTCCACCAAGTTGCAAGTAGTTCTGATCAAAATGAAATTGTCACGGGGCTGGGGATGTGGCTCAAGCGATAGTGCGCTCGCCTACCATGCATGCAGCCCGGGTTCGATCCTCAGCACCACATACAAACTAAGATGTTGTGTCTGCCAAATACTAAAAAATAAATATTAAAAAAATTTTCTCTCTCTCTCTCCCACTCTTTCCCTCTCTCTCACTCTTTCTTTAAAAAAAATGAAATTGTCACCTTGGGCACATGTGCTAGTGGGCCTTTCTCAAAATATGAAGCAAATAATTTGAAGTCAAATGGAAACATGAGGCAACATCTCTAAATCCTCTCTACCAGATGTGTGCTATACTTGTAGTCAGATTGCTACAAGAGTCTTGTCGGATGATATACACAAACAGGTTCTTTTGTTCCCCTTGTTTCTTTCTTATACCCAAGACACACACCAGGACCATAGAAGTAGAGATTTCCATGGCTTGTTTAGGGTGTTGGGAGGAAGAAAATAGAATACTGAATCTCTCTTTTCCAGAGGAAGCTTCTTCCTTAAAAAGTCTATGTTTCTGTGTAGCTCTAAGATTTGTTCTCTGAGGTTTCTTATGCAATTTTTTTCCCTGCCATTCTTTTCTTAAAATTTGAGAATCCTACAAATTTTCTTCAAATGTTTGAAGTAATAAGTGGCAACTGGACCATCATGTAGATGTTTTTTCCCCTAAAATTCAAAGTAGAGTGCTCTCATTGCCAAGTGTGATTACCTGTGCATTAGATTTTAATTTACAGTGCTAGTTATTGTATGATAATTAAACGTCAGTGGGTTATTAAAACATATTTATTGAAGTGTAACAACCATGCATTAGGCTCATATCTTGTTATGATTGCTAAACCTCATTAACTGCCTGGTTTATAAGCCATGGATATCTAATTTTCATTCAGAAGAAAGGCAGGAAGCATTTAAGCTAAACACATTGGTTTAAAGTGATTCCATTTCTACTTTATCTAACATATGCATCCTGATGGTTATTACTCTGTCTTTTGCACATGAGATTTAAGCATCTCAAAACACCACCTGGGTAATGGCCATTTCTATATCATTTCATTCTTCTCTGTTCTGGCTTCAAGGCAAAGGGAATTTATGGTGGCAACTTGGAATTAGATATACAATCAACCCTTCAAGTTCCAAGTTCCTATTTGATAAATCCACAGGGATTCTGTTTTTCCTTTTTTGGGAAAAATTCCATCAGATCTAATTAAAAAAAAATGTTCACTTATAAATGTTTTTACATCCAGGCCCTAATTAAGAATTATCTTTGTTAAATAACAAAAGAAATGAAATTGCACAAGAATTTGCTAAACTCAAAAGATTTGTTTGAGACTTTTTTAAAATYTATTTTTTAGTTGTAGTTGGACAAAACACCTTTATTTCACTTATTTATTTTTATGTGGTACTGGGGATCAAACCCAGGGTCTCACACATGCAAGGTGAGCGCTCTACMGCTGAACCATAACTCCAGCCTGAGACTTTTATTTAAAAAAAAACCACGTAGTATGTTTTAGGATTCATGTGTAGCATGTACCACTGCTAAATAAGTTCCTAGACTTGAACCAAATTGAACAATTTTTATGCTATTTAAACTTCTGCAATACAACCCAGGGCCTTTTCTTACCTGCCTCCAAGTGTTCCCTGCATCTGAAGAGACAAACATACTGATGTCGYTGTCTGACAGTTCAGAACCTATATTACCTAGAAAGAGCACATCACCATTAGTGAAAAGAACTTTCCACAAAAACTAACAATGGCCTAGATCAGCAGTCTGCATGGCCTGAGAAGGATTTTGACTGCAAGCATTTTGTCCAAGCAGGGGTTTTCAACATACTTGCTTCAGGGTTAATGGTTTAGGTGCCTTTGAAAATATTTCTAGCCTGCTCATTAAATTCCAACCACGGATATYTAGCTTCTTAAAATCAGCACCATCTACAGCAGCAAGCAAAGGAGACAAGCTTCTTACCTGAAGCAACTATGATGCTTGGAGCTGTGTCTCTGCTGGCAATGATTCCTGATGTGTAGGGATTCTCAGAGACTTTCAGGTGAAGGTGTAGTGAGCAATAGGGCTACACAGGGAAGAAATGAGGGTCATAACAGCACAAAAGCTAATGGTCACCTAAAGCCCCGATTCAGAGCATTCATGCATCCATCTGTCTGTCCATCCCATCAGCCCATCTATCTTTCCCCATCCCTGTGTCCTCTTACCACCCATTCGTCCACCCAACTACCACCTTGCATTCCACAAATATCTAGTGTCTACTAAGTGTAAGACAATTGCCAAGTTTGCAAGAATAGAAAGCTCCTTCACTGTAGGTGTAATTTGCTGATAYAAGTGCCAACTTGGTAATTTGATGAGTATTTAAGTATCATATACATAAAACTCTAGAGGAAGTTTATGACAGGGTYGCAAAGCCTCAAATTTGGTCATTTGAGAGTTTACAATTCAAGTAGAAAACATGAGATCTTTCTATTTATTACTATAAAGATAGAGTATTTTAACAGCCATAAGATAAATACAGACAACACATTATATGAGATTCTAGAAAGTGAGGAGGCACAGTCCAACTTTGGATTGGGCAGGGGGAGTTCCTAGGAGAAAATGGTGGATGAGTAGGCTTTGAACTGTGGGCAAGATGTTCAGACATGGGGAACATCAATAACAAAGCAGAAGAGTTGCAGGGTATAGCCAGGTATGATTAAGAGGAGAAATGAAATCTGGAGCCAGAAACGGTTGAGTCAGGCCAGGAGAACTTTGAAAAAGTCAGCTGGCATCTTTTAGTCATTCTTCAGTTGAGATCCCAATCTTAGTTGGGAAAAGACTGTGTGACATGTACCCCTGTCCTAACATTCTCCAAGCAACAGACACAATGTCTCTATTAAAATTCCAAAGTTGGCCTGCACCTCCTTACCTTCTAGAATCCATTTTCTTCAATACAGTAGTCATACTTGTAGACAAAATGCAYTAGTAACAAAAATTTAAATGAAAATATGAGGGGTTTGTTTATMTATATCTGAAAACCTTGATCAAGTTCCCTGATTAAGATATCAACMGCTTTCCAAAAAAAAGAAAAAAGAGGATAATAAATCTTCTACGAATTTTGTTTAAAATAGTCCTTGCACTGAGTTGTCAAAAAATACAAGTTTGTGTTTGAACCCATATTTTTTTTTTCATCTCCCAGGAAGATTACTTTCTAATCTTATCGACTTGAGTCTTTGGAATCACCAATGTATCTCTGTTATTACTTTTATTCTGCTCTGTAAGTCTCAGTCAACAGATATTCAGAGGACTACAGAGATACAATGATTAAATTTATATAGGATGGAGTAAATGATGAGCTAAAAATGAAACTCAGGAATAAAAGTAACCAAAATACTGGCAAAATAAAACTGCAGATAGTACAAGAGTGTTTTCCTCACTGTCAACACAGAAAGTAAAACTCCCAAGAAACAATCAATTGGTTTTGTATGAAAATTGCATGTAAAAGTTTCAAACAACATTTCACTTTATAATGCTCTGTAAAAGTAAGAATGATAGCCCCTCTAAAAAGGAACACCAGAGTCATGTATCTGGCATCTTTTTGTCCAAGAGGAAGACTAGAATAGATACTGCTAAATGCTGTAGGATGTCCCAGGTCAGTATTGCCCAATGCTCAGCCAACATTAAGACAGGATAGAGTGGGGGCATTAATCATATTCTCCATGAACATTTTCCTGACAACTGCAGCTTATCAGAAAGAGCCTCCCCTTCTCTGATAAACTACAATTTATTTTATGATGCACAATCCTGAGTAACCTATTTCAGGTATGGTACAGTTTTATCTCCYAAAGAGACACTCTACAAATGAAGAGAGCACGTCAACTGCTTMTTTGCATCTTCTGTGGAATTGTGCATAGAATCCATTAAAAAAGATGAATCAATAAAAGGATGTAATATCAAGTACTGCATTTTTTTTTATTGGGGCACGAAAGACATTGATTAGCTATTCTACTCAGAACAATGCCAGAGGTACATGGAATTGATCACAAATCATACAATCTGAGTAATGTGACCATTTCCATGGCATCCCAAGAAGCATACTGGAGTTGGGCATCATAAATAGACATCTAGGCTTAATGCAAAGCCGCCTGCACCTTCTAAGAGTGTAGAAAATTCCTGCAGTGGGGAATACCCAGCTTGCAATCTTGAGCCAGCTGCTGTCACAGCTGGAAGACTGTGAAGCTCAGTTGCCACTTGAGCCAAGGATTATTTGGTGTGGGAAACTTGCCATTACAAAGGAAACAGGACGTTTTCAATTGGCTGCTCTGTTGCTATGGTGTTCAGCCRACCAAGACATATTGATTGGAGAGGAAAAGACACCAGTTTGCACAGTAGCAGCAACATTAGAAATGATCTTTTGGGTGCATATTTTCTCCACTCTCACATTTGTGGTACTGGATTGCCCCCAGCTGGTACATGGAGAATATTCTGTGGTTTTCTTTTTCCCCCTTTCTTTCATATTATTTTTCAAAGCATTTACATAGTCTACCCAAATATGTGAAGAAAAACAATGTTAAGTGATTCATTGTCACTTTTTAATTTAAACTTCTGTACCTGCTTTGGACATCTGTCAAAAAGTTAAAAGTCACCAAAGTTAAAACTAATTGAGAGATTTTATTATAATGATGAACAAGTGACTCCAAGTTCCTGCAGGACACAAGACCAGGCTCTGGGATTCATATGAACAGTTTACCATGCAGAGACACTTTCCCCAACAGCAACCTCCCCCAGCCCTCAGTCCTGGGGATTAAACCTAGGCTTTCACAGAAGATAGACAAGGTCTCTGCCACTGAGCTACATCCCCAKCTATTTTTACATTTTATTTTGAGACAACAGTCTCACTAAATTGCCCAGGATGGTCTTGAACTTGCAATCATCCTGCCACAGACTGCAGGGTAGATGGGATTACATGTGCAGGCCACCATGTCCTTCTGTTTCCTGCCTTCTTTTACAAAGTTAGCAAGCAGGCCCTGTACACCTACCTACCCTATGCTAATGGTCACAGATGTTGCTTCTATATTTCCAGGGTTGTCTCAAATGCAACAGAGTCAAAGCACAGCTTGCTCCAAAGCAGTTCTCTGTATCTCTTCTATTTCCACATTTTAAAAAAATAAAATGAAAGAGAGATCAATAGAGCAGAGAAAAGGGATGAGAGAGGGGGTATAGAGGAGGAAATACCAGAAATAGTGGGAAATAATATTGTCCAAATTATGTTGTTATATCTTGCGCACGTACAAAGAGTAACGACAAATCCCACCACTATGTACAACTATAATGCACCAATAAAAAGTGTGAAAAAAGAAAAATATGCAAAAACTTTGAAAAAAAMTACAGAAATGCACACTGAAACCACCAATGACCTGGCAGCTGATTTACACAGGATGGAGGAACCAGTCACAAGCCTGACTTGCACATATGCATGAGTCATGGCACATCATCAATTGGTCAATTCTAGGAACAATTGGATCCTTAGTCTTTAATCTTTTCAGGGTCAGGTATAATGTTTGAAAATCTGATACAAATTAAGGATCACATAAAAGCACAAGGACAAGCACACAGCTTCCATTCAATTTCAGGGAGCTCACAAACCCTGAAAGCCCATCGGTGGACTTCTAGGTTCTAACGACCTTTCTTCTTTTATGTTTTATTTTAACTGACAAGATAGTTTGGCCATGGCAAGTATTCCATAAATGTCTGCTAGATTTAATTGAACCATGACTAGTTTTTCACCTCAAATACTGATCATTTACTTCTCCTGTCTAATGGAAGCATTGTGCCCTTTGATGGACATCTCCCCATTCATCCACCATCTGTCCTCTGCTCCTCAGAGTCTGAGTGTTTCAGCTTCCACATATAAATTAGAACATGTGGTAATTGTCTTTTTGTACCTGGATTATTTCACTTAGCATAATGTTTTCCAGGTGAATCATTAATTATCTACCCTGTTTTAGGCACTCTCACGGCCAATGGGGAATTACCAAATGATAAAAGACATTATGATATAAACAAACTTAACAAATGGTTAGAGAGTATTTGAGAGTCAACCAGCTTAAATTTTTTTTTCCTTCCAACCTCTATAACAGCCTTTAGATACTATCTTCACAGTGCATTTTCCCCCAAACTACTGATCTGAATATTATACTGAAAGGACTGATCAGAATTTCATAAATAACAAGGCAGCAAGCAAATTCCCAAATACCTATAACCACCTCACCCCAATACACCCATGTATGTGTAGTTTCTGACTCTGAATTGGAGCTAGGACTCATTAGCTCTTCAGTAAAGATTTAATAGCAAAGACGAAGGAGGCCCTCAGACAATGGGCTGGGTGTGGGGTGTTCGGTTCTATTCCAAACCAGCACCACATGTGGTGTCACACACAGCGCAGTGAGGTGGAAAGCACAGTCATGAATCTCTTGGGGCAASTGCCTGCTCAGTTCCAGTAAAATACTGCCAAAAGAATCCATAAAGAAGTCAGGGCCCCTCTGCATGAAACACTGCACCTTCCCCAGGGGACCAAGGATTTGTCACAGGCTCAGTTCAGCTCACATCCTGCCTCTTGGGAGCCCGATCCCGGGGCTTCGAGGCCAGTGGACCATGACCTATAATACCCTACCTAATTGTACAATGCAGTCTTCAAAGGAAAGAAATCCCAGCTGAGTCCTTCAAGCAATCCATCTGAAAGTCCTAAAAATACAGCCCCAAATTACCCTGGATGTCTTATTTCTATAGAATGCATTTTCCCAGGAACATTCCATTTGGGGCTGTAATTCTGAACTTGTTCCACATTTGTAACAGCCCTGCTGGAAAAAATCTCCTTTCTAATCACTAGGCTGTGCTTTCGGTGACACTGTCACTTTCCAAGTCCTCACAATCTAAAATCACTTTTTATCTCCTCTCTGCCAACCAGCTCCTGAGCCTAAAGAAGGTTTTTAACAGTCTGGGTCTCCTGTAGCTCAAAGATTTTCCTTCCTATTTTGTGGCCTTTGGCAGATTTTTAAAAAATGATTTTGGTCTCTCCTCCCCACCCCTTTGACATTTTACCTTCCTCAGTCAAGCTACCTGTTTTTTAAGCGTCCATGTTGAAAATGCAGTAAGCAACAGGGTTAATGAAGGAGGAAGGATAAAGGACTCCTGGGTACCACACATCTCCATCACAGTAATTCATCTCCCCTCAATCTTAATGAGGATTGTGATTTTGTTAACTTTGAAGCCAACTTGAGCCCATGAGCTTCAGGAGAYGGATGTTACAACAAATCCTTCTTTGTCATCATCCAAGGGAACACATGACTTCCACTGGAGTCCAAATGTGAAACTCAAACAACACTCTCAAGTATACTCCAAGCATAACTCCCTAACACGGTATGGATGTTGAGCACCTGCCCTGTGACAGATATGATTCTTGGAGCTGATCTTTGAATGGCCAGAAAGACAGGCACAGTCCCATATTCATGAAGCAGTTAACAGGGGGAGGTGGATGAGAAAGTCAATGGATATATGTGCTGATTTCAGATAGAGTAGAGGTCATGGGAAAAAAAAAAGAATTAGGATGAATATAACTTTACTGGATTCTCAAGAAAGCTGTTTGAGAAGTAGGAACCTGAATGCCAAGAAAAAGCATAATTAATGGAAGGACATTTTTTAAAAAATAATAAGAGGGCTGGGGATGTGGCTCAAGTGGTAGCGCGCTCACCTGGCATGCGTGCGGCCCGGGTTCGATCCTCAGCACCACATACCAACAAAGATGTTGTGTCCCCCGAGAACTAAAAAATAAATATTAAAAATGCTCTCTCTCTCTCTCTCTATCTCTCTTTCTCTCCTCTCTCACTCTCTCTTTAAAAAAAAAATAAGAAGAAGAAATTCAAATACTCCAAGACATAAATGAATACATTATATTTATTCATGGTGTGAAAAGAACTCACGCCTCTGAACCAGGGCTTCTGTGTAAGGAAGGTGGAGCTAGAGGTTAGAGATCAGGGAGAAGTAGACAGAGGCCAGATCACATGGGACCTGTCAGTCATGAGAAGGAATTTGAACTAGAAAACCATTTGAATGCTGAAGTTAATGAGAGAGATGATGTGGATTTTCAAAAGTTTAAATTGATAACATTTTATGAAATTTGAGAAAAGAGAAATCTATTTTAATATAAGAAAGAAGAGTGGTTTTTCTAGGGGTGGGAGTGTGATTCTAATTGAAAAAGAGCCCAGATGGATTTTTAGGGTGATGGAAATATCCCACCTTGATTGTGATAGTAGGTATATACATTTGTCAAACTTCATCAAAGTATTCTCTTAAAGTAGTTGCTTTTTATCACTCTGTTTTGCTTCAATAAAGTTGATTTTAAAACAAAAAGTTTGCTTTGGCTATTGTGTGGAGAATGGATTGCCAGATAGAAATGGGGATAGAAAGTTAGGATCCAGCACTGTGGGTCTGGTGACACATGCTTGTGGCTTGGATTAGGATGGTCCCAGCAGGGTAGGGAAGGAACTAATAGTGTAAGTTTATTTTGGAGGCACAGCAATGAGACTTCATGATTCTGGGTTAGGGTGAAGCAGGGAACACTTTGCTGTTGGGTTTGAATCACTTTTATTATTTTATTATTACTAGTATTAATTAATTTCTTTTTTTTTTAGTGCTGAAAATAAAACCCAGAAGTGCTTTGTACATACCAGGAAAGTGTTCTACCACTGAGCCAAAAAACTAAGAGCCATTCTATTTTTTTAATATGTTTTTAGTTGTAGATGAACACACAGTATATTTATTTATTTTTATATAGTGCTGAGGATCAAACSCAGTACCTCACACATGCAAGGCAAGCACTTTACCACTGAGCTACAGCCCCAGCCTTCTAAGAGCCATTTTTTAATGACCCATTTATGAGGCTGAAGAGCCTATAAACCATGTCACATGGTTTATTCTCTCTCATAGGCTCACTCTCATTCTCTGCAAAGTACCTGGTGGGAATGGAAGACCGTATTAAGATACTGGTACATTCAATGCATTTGTGACTAAATATCACAATATTCCAACTTACAATAGCTTAGCTAGGAAGATGGACTTGTTTGGGGTTTTTGTTGCTGTTGTTTGTTTGTTTGTTTTCATGCCACGTGACTGTGCCTTGCATAGTATAGGCATTCAATAAATCGCTATTATATTTACTTAGTCTGTCAACGGCTTTGTGCATTCACTATAACAAATGGCTGTTTTTCTCCCAGTTGCCAGTAATAAGGATGGAAGCTGAGTGGGAGGCTGAATTTTAGACTGCTTCCCTGATGCACAGTGACAACTGTGATATCCTCTGCAACTAATAAGGTCAAGCTCTAGCTGCTGGCGTCTTCTCGAGTAGGAGGGTGACCCACCTACTGCTGTGCAGGATGAACCTGCTAAGTGACCATCCAGGCTTTGTAGGATGGAAGAAGCAAGCCGAGGGAGGATAACATCAAAGTCGGGTTTGTGCAGAGTGTGAACAAGGATAGACGGGCAGGAAGATGACAGGCTGAATATATACGCACCATGCACCAAGCCCTTCCTGCTAAAACTAAGTGGTCTTCTTATACAAACCTAGAGGTTTTTATACTACCTTTCCTTTTGCTTGACTTATACACAACTTCTGAACTATTTTACAGAAACAAATTAACTATTAATTTCATGAGACTTTAATCCGCGATTCATCTCTTTCTCTCTTCCTACATTTACTGAGTATCTCTTGGTGCATCATGTATGGAGCAGGCCTCAGAGCTACTAAGAGCGATAAGATGTGACCCTACAATCTTTCATTTATTAACTTAACCTCATTCAAATAGAGAAGTAGACTGAAAACTCCTTGAAGGCAAGATCCAGCTTTGATCCTTCTCTTGGATACCATGATATCATTAAATATATAAAAAATTTACACTGATTTTATATATATATATATATATTGCCCAAAGGTAAAATAATTAAAAGAAAAGCATAGTTCAAGCAGGGGTCAGCAACTGTTTTTCAGTGGGCTATAAAGTAAATATCTTAGGCTTTGTTGGCCATATTCTGTCAGGACGACTTGATTCTGCCTTTGTAGAGTGAAAGCAGCCACAGACAATACAGACACGAATAAACATGATTGTGTTTCAGTGAAATATTGTTTAGAAAAACACAATGGGTCATATTTTTCCACAGGCCATCGCTTCTCTCAGCCCAAGCTTTATAGACTAAGACAAATGAGTGGAACATAATATAAAGAAAATAAACAGGTTTAAATTGGTAATTCTTAACCCTTTTTTTGAGGCATAAACTTCTCTCAAAATGCAAGCAAACATTACCACGGGAATATGTCACACAATTCTGCATTCAGTTCATCAGTTTTGCAGCTAAATGTATTCCTCATTAGAACTGTAATGGGATTTTTTACAAGAAAGTAAGACTATTTATGGGACACCCTCATGAAAGATGAATATGATCATATTCTGCCTGAAACCACCAGTTGGGGTCCTGGTCAGGACTCTGGTTATAGGGCAGTAAATGTCCATCAGAGGAAGGGTGCACTTTAGCATGCATGAGACCCTAGGTTCAATTCAAAAAGAAACAAACAAACAAAAATCCCCCAAACAAAAAAAAAAAAACTGGAGGAAATAAAGATCCTGGACATGAGCACAAGACTGATCATATGCTCTTATCTCCTTGGCCCATCACAAAGGCAGCCCTGTGATTCTTTTCTGCAAACTCTGCCTTCACACCCTTTACTGCCCATTTTGTTCATCAACTGAACAAAAATCCCAGAACTAGCTTAATCCTCTTATTAAAGGCACTTCCAGGCCTTCTCTGGGGGGTGCTCTACTCCACCAAGAAGACTCACCAACAAGCAATGCACAGGGTCCCCTCTGAGATCTGTGTCTGGTGCCTGCAGCAAACGCCAGTCTCTGCCTTTGTTGTATGTGATGAAGGTCTTCACTTGGTTGTCAATCTTCTTGTTAGCCAAGAACATTCCCTTTATCCCTGCTACCTGGGAAAAATGGACATGGCTGAAAAATACATCAATTTGAGAAGAAGAGACATCTTTGTTTACGTGGTTTTTTTTGTGTTTTTTTTTTTTAAGCAAGCTGTCAAACTTCAGCCAAGAGCATTTGTCTTGGAAGAAACACAGGGTGAGAATGGAAGTGGGCAGATGACGCTTAGGTATGACTCCCCAGACAGTTGGACAGAAAGCAGCAGATCAGCCCCTTGTTGTATGGGAATCATAATACAAGTTTGACAGAAGCTTATTATTACTCTAAGGTAGGTAGGCAGCAGCCTTTAGTTGCCAGGAGATAAACTCTGGTTGCACTCAGTTCTGTTACTTTCCAAGTGCTCAATAAAGAAACGCTACTTTTATTGTATGCTAGACTAGCACCCAGAGTCTTAAATATCGTATCTCATTTAATCCTGTTAACAGTCCTCCTGGGGGAAAAAAATCACTCTATTCTCTATTCCACATATGAGATCTCAGGCTTATCCAGATAATGGGACTTTCCCAAGTTACACTAAGGACACACAGTAAGTACCTAGAATTTTTACCCAGAACTCAATAGCTTCAGAGCTTGTGCTCTTAATGACTAAATTACTGAGCCATTTGCAGCCTTGGGCAACTGAGAAGAGTCAAAGATTCTAATATAATAACTGTTGTGATTTTTTTTTGGTATAAGATCTCTTTTAATTCACCAAATGCAGTGTACATTTGAGAAAAACCTTAAAACTTAAGAAAATATTGTTTTTCTAAATCACTAATTGATCCCTGTCCATTATAATGTTTCTGTTCTCACCATTAGCAGTTTTTATCAATTGTTTAACTCTGAGAAGATAACTATTTTCTTTCTTCTATATGTTAAGAAAGAGGTAATAATTGACCAATTGCCAAAATTGTGCAATAACAAGTTATCCACTGTGCACTGAATTTTCAGGTGGTCTGGACTGATCAARCATAGATTTTACCCTGCAGAAAATAATCCCAATCCAGAAATAATGGACAGCAGTGAAGAAAAGAACTGAAATGTGTTGAGTTGTGCTTTTCATCTCTGCATGTGCAGCATCTCGCTTAATGCTCTCAATAACCGAGAGAGAGAGTTCTCCTGAGCCACATTTGGAGGATGAGAGAGGGGAGACTTAGATTAAAAGCTACCTGAGACAGGTGCACGGGGCATAAATGGATAAGTAAGCATCTCTGAACCTACTTAACTTGGAACCATTGTATTACCAAGTGAATATTTTGAATCAGATGAGTGAAACAATACTGTCAAGCACTATCCCCAGTCCTTCATAGACAAACTTCAACACTTGCTATCAACCTGTCTTAGCAACTTTTATCCCAGCGCTGTGGATGAGAAAACTAAGGTGCGGACAAAATGAATGGTTTACGATGACAGAGCGTTGGGTTTCCTACTCAAATCTGTATGACTCTCAAAATTCTTTCAGTAACTACAGCTCCAAATGTGGCAAATCAAAGAGGTTGGGCTTCGATCAATAGAAGACACACGCTTTGCCTTTGCTTTGGACACAGTCAGACTTCATTAATTTGTACCTGCTGATTTGGCATCTGGGATAATTTAGAGTTGGGCTAAATTTGTACTATTTTGGAACTACAAGTTTGTTAAACAAATAAATGGTTTAAACGWGTTGCTGAGAGGAATACTTTGAACTACTTAAAACGAGCTACATTCTGGGCAATCAACAGCAGCTAGGACAATTTCTTGTGCACTGTCAATCCTCAAAAAAAGAGTTAGGCAGGAGCTATTGGGGCACTCAAACTCCCAATGACACTATGTTAGTTCCAAATTATATCTAGTTATTTGCTATACCAGCTCCATAAGGGCTGCTCACCAGGAAACTCCATATTACTTTTGCATATGTTCAAGCAGCTGTTAGAAACTTAAATATGACCAAACTGCCTGTTCTTTAAAAATGAAATTTCATATATCAGAATTTTCAACAAAGTCATACTGGTCTTCTCTCTATACCATAACCAGAAATGAGAAACGACTCTGTCTTAGTTAGTCAGTACTCTAGAGGGTTACGATAAGAAATAAAAATGTTACCTAGTCCCATATTTTCATTGCCCAGTTTCCTTCCTGCTCTCTCCTCCTTTTGCCAAGGGCAGCAGAGCAGGGTTATGCATGCGTAGATCTGGTTCATCTGATTTGCAGAAGTGGTGATTTTATTGGGCCCCAACTGATTGGTATTATCAAATGCTACTTGAGCAGAGAGCTGGGCTTTGTAATTCATCTCTGGCAGCTTGGCCTTCAGGTTTATCTTGAGGAATAAAAACTTGGCAAAGTAGAGGGAATGTGTATCAACATAGGCTAGATTTGGAGAGAGTCTGTTTATTTCCCCTCTTACAGCCAAGACACTTTTCCATTTCAGGTGTCTTTTATTGTCTTGCTCTGTAGCCTGGTATGCAAAGATGGTCAGCCCTGCTCCTAGGTTCTGTGCCACTCACTCTGCTCTGCCTCTGGGCTTGATCAATCCATCTGTGTTTCCCACTGCAACCTTATTTATGCAGGAGGTACTTTCTTCTAATGCTTTTTTAATAAGATCTCATAATGCCTTTTGTGTTCCTTCTCATTGCATGCGTATGGATCTCAAAAGGGTCCCAAATGTGAAATTGTGTGGGTATGCATGGGTGTTTGTGGGTGTATGTAAGGTGGGGGGTCCCACTGAGGATGAAAGAACATATTTATATTGCCAGCTGACCTCCTTCTGTGCCCACATTACATGCATGTTTAAGAACTGAGTAAGGGGATGGGGCTGTAGCTCAGTGGCAGAGCGCTTGCCTAGCATGCATGAGGCACTGGGTTTGATCCTCAGCACCACATACAAATAAGCAATGAAATAAAGGCAGTCTGTCCATCTACAACTAAAAGAATTGAGTAAAACTGAAGGATGGCAAGCGTGGGGAAATGTAGTATTCCCAGCAGAAGTTCTGCCTTCACACGGACACGGCATTTCCAGCAAAGACACTCCTTTGAAAAAGGTGCAGCACATTGGTAGAAGCTCATCTTCCCTTGGGGAAAGAACTGTTAACTTTTATGCTACTGAATTCTGCAGAAAGACTTCCAAGAGGGCTTGGTGTCTTGAGAAGCTACTGTTCTCTCTTCACTTCTCATATGGATGAATTGGATAAGAGAAATCTCAAAGGTCATGAAAAATTATTTCTTGTTTTTTAATATTATAGAAGCCAGGTTATCATTTTTACTAGGTTCTTAATATGAATATGCAATAGCTCAAACCTCAACCTAGTAGAGAGCATTTCAAACATTTACTGTACCTGAGCATGAGCATCTTACAGTGCTGTTTCTTCTTTTCTCTTGCTCTCTTCATGCTTATAGGCCAACCCCAAATTTCTCAGACAACTTCTCAATGTATCTCTACCTCTACCTCAAGATCCAGCTCTATAACCCTTTCCCAGAAATAAGAACCTCTTTTCATCTTGATTGTCTCTAACATTTCTCTGTTCTTCCACTTGTTTTGCATAAATATGGCTATATCTTGGTCTCAACAACTGTAGAATCTTCTTATGGATGACAATCTTCCCGTAGACTTCTCTTGTACTCTTTATACTTCTTATCAAAAGTTAATTCAACTTTATCTTCTTTTATGAACTCTTACATTACAGTCCCCACCTTAAGATAACCTTTGGATTGCTGTTCACTTCACCATATTGCTTCTTTAAAATTATTAAAGGTAAAGTCACTTTGTACAAGGAGCCCCAATTCTGTTTTCATAAGATAGGTAGTTCTGCATTAGAAGATGTAACAACTACAAAAATAACATAAACTTACTGAGTGCTAATAAATAACGAGACATTTCATGAAAGGCTCCTGCAGACATGAGCTCCTGGGTCTCTTGGCGCACTCTGAGTGGAAGAGTCACTTATTCTCATTGTGCTGATGATTGAACTAAGGCTCAGATGTGGACAATCACTTGCCTAATGTCATTCAGCTAGAGAAGCTGAGATCTGGACTCCATTTTTAGTCTAACTCTAGAGTTCATAACACTGTGGCTATATTATTTTTTCAAACTTTTCTCTTACCTGAGTATCCTGAGATAAATACCATATTGGGAYATCATGACAATAGGAAAATACCCTTTAGTCATCCTTCAGTAATGTACTCAACAGTCATTCAGTAAATATTTTCTGAGCATCTACTATGTATCATGTACTCTTTTAAGCACTGAGGATAAAACACCTAGATTGTCTAAGCCACTGTACCTTTATTCAACAGATTTTCTTTTTTCTTTTTTTTTTTTTTTTGAGAATGAGAATGTGCTAGACGTTGGGATTTCTTTGATTTAAAAGAAGAACCTCACATACCTTCCTCATTTTTTTGATTCACTCTCTAGATGGTTGTCCCCTGCACCAATGGTTCATGTAGAGGTAATGTTGAGAGCAGCCTTCGGCTGGTATTTTCTTTATTTCTATTCTGATGGTGATTGAGAGATGATTTATTTCCACTCTCTCAACTTAAATCAAAAATCCTAAGTGTCAAAATTTGAGGAGAATTAAAAACAGATGAAAAAGTATGGCAAGAAAGAGAGCATTTTCATAACTGTCATTTCTTTGGGCTTTGTGATGGGATATTTTTATCTTCTAAAGAGAAGATCTCAGCCAGAAGAGACACGTACTCAGAAGCAGTCAGGGTTGCCTCTGCAACCAGCAAACTTACTTGATTAAAAAAAAAAAAAAGATCTAAATGTTCTTTCTTCCCCTATTCCCCTGATCAAAAGACACTCTCCTCCTGGAGAGACAGGAACCTGTTCTACATCCTGTAATAAGGATGTCTTGAGTTGGACAGCATTCTTTCCTATCTTGTAAGAGGTAGTTTTTCTTCAAGAAGTCACATCAGCAGTACTGGGACTGTTGAATTTTCTCTTTTAAAGACAGGACATGCATAATGTGCTAACGATGCCACGGCATCCTGCTCACTGTTATGGCTTTCCTGATGAATGCCGTGGCTCATCCATTCACCCACATTCTTGTGCATTCTGAATTTGTCAGCTAGGTGGCTTCACTCCCAACACAACCTTTCCCACTCAGCTTGGGTGAACTGTCATTGCCCATTAAGCCAAAGGGCTCTTCATCATCATTAATTAATATTCCCTTCCCAAAGGAGGGAGGATATTGTCCAAAGCTGTCAGATTCCCTTTCATCATCCACACCACCCAAATACACTGGAATCACATGTCTCAGACACACTCATCACATCCCTTTTGCTCTGGCCACCATTAAGCATGCCGTCTTCTGTTTTTTAACTCATACAATGCTATTGGAACTTTTGAGCTATTCAGGAATAGCAATGTCTTAGGACAATTTGCTTCCAGGMTTTTCTTACACACATGCATCTACCACACAAAAATTTGGAGTCGTGTATAAGTACTGCCTTATAAGTCAGGAACTTGCTTCTGAAGGTGGTGTATAGGTCTGGAGTCATCAACTGCTGATTCTCTTCTTATTAAATATTCCCTCAGATAGTTTTCTTTTTCCTGTATGGTTTCTTCCACTGCTAGGAAAAATCTAATGCAATTTTCCTGCCCTGTAATGTCTTTCAATCTTGATGCCATTACTCATCTGCAATCAGAAACAAGTGCAGATACTAATCTTTCAGGGAAGAAACAATATTTCATAGTGAGGAGTTTACAGACGCTCAGATTTAGGTCCTAATTCTGTCACAAACTAGCTTTGAATCCTTGTAAAAATGGTTATATTATCTCAAACTCTATTTACTCAATGAGAGGAGAGTGATTATAGTCCCTCTATATTCCAAAGTTCAAATGTGGATTGAATGGTATAGTTATGGAAGATTATTTCCACAGTGCTTTGTACAAAATTTCCACCCCAAAATATTTGCTATTATTATTATATCTCATATACAACAACCAAAAATATTTCTAATATGTTTACTCTGTAGCCAACTTTTCTGGCTCACATTTCTTCACCATCTTAAACAAGGGACATGTTCAATGTCAAATTCACACTCAGAGAAAATTCTGGAATTTTAATAATTAAACCACAGGAGATTGTTCCCCAACACTTTGTCCTCAACATTTTCCCATTTCATTCCCTATACACATGTAGCAGCTAGAGTAAAGGATGGAGTATTTGTAACCAAGTTCTAATGTATGTGCAAACRAAATGGTTTTAATGAGACTTTTGCTTCCTTCTGCATTTCCCATAAAGACCCATCAACAATGTAATTCCTAAGATATGGACCCATCTACATGCTCATAGCTGAAACAGTTCACCTCTGTTAAAACAGCTTCAAGAGATCGCAGGTACAGAAACAGCAGGTGACTGGCATGCAGAAGCATATAAACAATGAATGGCATCCTCTTTAGTCACCCCCAAATGTGAGCAGATGTGCACTCCGTATATTCCATCCCTGTCTCCCCCATCTCTTATGATGCTCATCTCTGTTCCTTATTAACTCATGTATGGATTTTCTTACTTTTCATTTATCTCTAAGCTCTCATCATTCATTTCAACTCTACTGGGAAATTCATGCTGGATGGCTTTCAGCTTCCTGCTAGCCAGAACAATCAGATTTAAGGGAACATTTGTGCCAGGCTCCGTGTCCGCCAATATTCTTTGTATCTAGGTAATCAGCAGATATGGCACTGCCGTTCTGATCACATCAATTTCAATTCAAGTTGCTGTGAACTGTCAGGCTAATAAAACAAAGATGCTTCGCTCCCGGCCCCAGGATGCAGAACACCTTTACATAATACAGTCACACCACTGCTCAAAGTGATGATAATCAGAGGCAGCAGTTTCCCTACAGAGAGTCAACTGCAAGAGAGACACAAAGGGGAACTGCAGGATTAACAAAGGAATGTTTGCCATGTCCAGAGGTCACCCTGCTTCCTATTCTAATTCCATACCCATGCCAACATTTGAATTCAGAAAACAATCCATGAAAACAATCGCAAATAACAAGACATTGCAAAGTCATTCCTGCTCAGATCTGTCATCTTTCCCATTATCAAGGGACCAATTAAAATGGTCTTTACTTCTGGCAGAAAACAAAATGTATCAGGAAACTCTATTTTGAATGGACTTGATAAAAGAGGAGAGAATAATCAGGAAGCTACCTGAAAAATCAGAAAATGTACTCCAGAGACCAAAGACAGAACTAGACCCAAGAAAGCACCCTGGGCGATTAGGCTGGGGCAGCTGGTGTGATATCACAACAGCTGGACACCTGAAGACACTTCCATTGTAAATGCTGGATCCAGGGAAGAGAATGTGTGGCATTTCAACAAAACACACTTCAAATTTACATGTCCACAGGGCATTTACAAAGGAGGAAAGCAATGTGACAATTTATATTTGCTTATAAGAAGTCAACTAGTTTGTGTCAAAAAAAGAAAGGACATATGGTCATAATGCTAATTGCAATATGAGAAGAAGTAGAAATCTAAAATAATGGAAATGTATTGAACATTTAAACAATGAGAGCATATTTGAAGACTACAAGAGTACAAGATTATATTGATGTTTAGACTCTTTGGAACATATTAATTATGTCATCTACATTTTGTTGAGCATTACTGTATTCCAGGTATTGCACTCAACATGTACAAGGATTAACTCATTTCATTCTCAGAGAGATTCCATCCTGGAGGTCCTGTGTTTATCTCCATATTTTAAACAAGGACACTGTGGCTGAGAGAGTATAGATATGGCTCAAAACTACAAACAAATGGTATAGCAAGGGTTCTCACCCAGGCAACCTGAATCTAAAATCTATCCTCTAAATTAAATTTCATCCGAAGGGAATTTGAAACTAAATCACCAGAGTATGTAAATGTTTTCCAGAATACATGTTCAGTTTGAGGCAGAGATGTAAGATACTATATTTACCTGAAACATGGGCAGGAGAGAAAGTGGGAAAAGTTTGCAGTACATTTTTTCTAAATACATACACACAAATCATGTCCCTTGCTAGTCTGTCATAATTGCATCATAAATACTTGGACAATGAATTGGGCAGACCATTTATTAACCAGCCTTTATACATACAGAGAAATCTAGTTCCTAGAAGACATCTCAACGAGTTCCTGAAGGGGAAGGAAAATAGAAATCTCTAAGAGGAATTACAATGATGGGCTTGAGTTTTGTAAGTGAAATTGGTTTCTTTCATCCTGGATATAACTCCCTTGCTTCTTATTATACAAACAACTACTCGAAAGCCTGAATTTACCCTCCACCAAATGATTGTGACATTGGGATACTACATGTTTAAATCCATTTTAGATTTTTTTCTCAGATAAAATATAGGTATGATATTATTTTCTAAATCCTGCATGTTTTTTAAATGACACATTATAACCCATTATAAATTCTTCTTGGTGCATGATATGACTGGCAAATGGCTAAAATACAACCCCAAATACTAGCTTTCTTTCTACCCAACTGTGCCTTAAAAGGCAATTAAAGCATTGATGTTTGTCATAAAAACTGGTTGATCCAAAGTGTATGAATTTATTTTGAATTTGTATTATTTTGAGGAATGAAGAGCCTTAGTTCCCTTGGGGAATCCAGAAAGCTCTGGTTTTGTTGTGGTTTGTTAAATTACTTTTCCCAGATTTTGGAGGGAAAAAACCTCTTAATCTTATCTCACATTCTGGTCCAGGAAGAGAAAGATCATTAGCTAGGGGAAGTCACTGAGTTAAAAAGTGTGCTCTGATGTCATGCCAAGATGTCCCTGTCCCTTTCACTCTTCAGAGAGAGATAAAGGAGTTCTGCCCACTGGTTCTTCTTGCAGCACCCTGTCGGCCTCCTCAAACTATTTTCAAATGCCATGTGTGGAACACACTTATGTAAACACTTTCATTGTCTATCTACCCAGACACTCTCCAAGTCCTCTCTGGGCCTTCACATCTTGCAGACTTGGTCAAAGAGAATGCCTCCCAGAGAGTTCTGTGGATTGCAAATTAACTAACAAAAACATTCCATAAATCCCTTCAACTCCCAAGTGCAATGAGACTGCACATGGAAACAGTAATAAAATGATCCAACGGCTGGTGCTGGCTCTTCCTTGGCCAGTCCAGTCATTGCTATAGCTCAGCGACCACATGTACCTGGTGACATACCTCATAGAGGTCAATCATGACGTTACCCTCAGGACCTCTGCTGCTCTGGACATTCTCCAAGGCCAATGTGAAGTAGACACCTCGGGTGTCTGAGATGTAGAGGTTGTAGGTATCATTCTGGTTCCATTCTTGGACTGCTGCAAACACTTGGTTCTCATCTGTGCTAATGACATGCATATCCTGCAGGAAGATACAGGAAGTGAAGAGGGAAGAAGAGTTTTATGCGTTAACTGGCGTGCATCTAATAAGCTTGGGATCTACTGAAGTATATCAGAATCAGCATTTTGATGAAAGACAGAGAGCATCCATTTGCATATATAAAAATAATAATTAGATAAGGGTTAATCATATATTTTCTTCATCATGTGAGAGGTCAGGAAGTAAGATCATGAGAAAAAATAAGAGAGATGCTTAGTGGCTCAGTTATAATTTAATGTCCTCATTAGAGAATTTGAAGAGTACTGTCTTAAACATATATAACTATGGAGAACCAATCATTCTGATGTATTTGTCAAGTTTAAACATGGTAAAGCTTATGTGAGGCAAATATGAGGAAAGTCTGCAGGAACAGAGAGAAAAGAGAAAACCCTTCATCTCTTACCATGGTCCACAGACTAAGAAAATGGATGCCATCTGCAAGCTTGTTAGATACACAGAACTTCAGGGCCCATTTATGAAATCAAAATATGCATCTTAATAAGATCCTTTAATAATAAGCAGGGGGCAGCTGCATCTGGGTGCAATTCCAAACCCTTTCCCCTTGTTCAGAACTCTGGAGAAGTGGATTCTAACACAGACAAGAGCTTGCCATCCCCAACCAAGGGTCCCAGTCTCTTTTAGGGGATACCTGTTCACATGCTCTCAGCTGCCTTTTATTTTTTCCCAAATCAGTAGACACAATACAACTTCCAAAAATTAAAAATAAAAACAAAGGGAAAAAAGTTTCCAAATACGAAGCTATCCATATCACAAGGGTAGAAGAAAAATGTGGAAAGATTCTTGGCCTTTATGTTCTCTTTCTAATCTTCAGAAATGGACCTGGCTCTGTCCTCAGACACTTCAGGATATCTGGCTATCATTCCTTAGTAACAATCCTAGTGCTGGAAAGTTCTCCTTCACCTCTATACTAAATTTTTCATTGTCGCTCAAGTTATTTTTCTTTTCTTTCCTGCAAAGCTGGGTCCCTGGGCCTCAGGCATGCTAGGCAAGTGCTGTGCCACTGAGCTATCACCCCAGCCCTTGTAACTGGAATTCACATCTTGGCTCTTTAATTCAGCCAATGCAGGTGGAACTCTGTGCTCAGAATTTTCACCTGCAAAATAGAGATAAAAATAGCAGGCATCCCCATTGCATTGTGAAGATAAAAGTAGTTATTAAGTGTTAATACACTTATAATAGTGCCCAGTACTTAGCATATGCTCTATAAATGGTAGCTATTATCAGTTAAGGGACCACTTTTATCCCCCTTGTTGATCAGGCAAGGTGAGTTGGCTTTTCTATTTTGTCTTCACTAATGCTCTCAACAAAAGGTGGTTCATCCAAATGTTTTCTTTCTTTCTAATGAAATTAGCTGTGCAAATGAGCCCCAGAGTTGCCCTTCCTTTGTCCACTGAGGGACAAACCCTCTATGGCTCCCCATTCTCTATAAGGCTAAGACCAGAGCCCTTACCCTGGCATTTAAAATTGTCAAAAAACTACTCCCAGTTCATGTTTCCTTCCTTCAACGATATAATATAATCCCCGAATTCAAATTACTCTATTTCAAGAGTAAACTGGTCCTAGTATATCTATATGTCTGTGCCTTTGGAGTGAATATTTGCACAGGAGAATTTCTATGAGCCTTGCTATAGATATTAAGTCATCTTTGATTTTGGAACAAAAGCAGATCATCTATACAATCCCACCTTGCAGAGATGCTTGTTTTGTAGATTTGAAACTGAAGCACAGATGCATCAAGTTCCAGGTCACTTAAGAGAATCTGTCACATAATGATAGTAGATTAAAATTTTCATCTCTAGACATGGGCTGAGAACATCTCTCTTTCTCTTCATACACTCTAATTACATTGAACAGCCTTTTTAAAAACGATGTTGGTCTTAAATGTTTCAATTAAAAAGCCAAACATATTGAAATGTCACCTTTCTTTTTCCATCTTGCCTAAATCTTGTCTTTAGGAAAATGTATTCTTTCTTTTTCACTGAGTCACATGATTTTAGACTAACACAGGATCTTATACCTTTTCTATTAAAGCATTTTTAATAACTGATCTGTAGGAAAACAGCATTGTTGGTTTTTAATAAGATGTAAAAAGGAAAGTAGGGGCTCTTTGGTAAAATTCTGAATTAATGCTGAATTAAAGATCTTTCTTGCTGAGAGTACATTCAAGGTTCTTCAGCATACCAGTGAGCTCCTGTTAGTCTCTAGGGAAGGAACATATAATGGAGTCTATTCCTTTAATTTTATATTATCATAGGACCAAATTTTTGCAGAACATCACTGAGGACATTTCATTCTGAGTAACACATTTGAGAAAATAATATTTTAAATCTAAGCGCTTTATTTAAAAAAAAAAAAAAAAAGAAGAAGAAAAGAAAAATTGACAAATCAGCCACCCAAGGTTTCAAAGCAAGTTAGTAACAGATCCAGGTTCCCATCTGGGTCTTCTGTTGCGAATCAAACAGCCTCCGTGCCTCCCTGCACCCTGGTACACATCGATCTTCCACCATGGAGACAACCAGATCCATACTAATAATAATATTACCTTGCTTTTATAGAGTATCTGTCCTCCAAAATGCTCCAAGCACTTTCATATGTATTGCCTCATTTATCTCACTTGAGTAGCTCAGAATGAGCCCCCAGTAAGTCAAGCGAAGGAAGATTGTCACTCTGTCTCTCTGATCTAGAGGACCACATGCTCTTAATGGTAATGGCAACATTAAAATTTACCCAGCTCGCTCCTTGGTTATTCTTTACCATTATATATATATATATATATATTTTTTCTTTTTTTTGGTTCTGGGTAACTCTGGTTTTTAAGAGTTGACAAATGGCAATAGGTGATTAAAGAAGATTTGAGCATGAACGGGCTGGTTTGTCTCAATTCCTTTGGTCAGCAACAAGCTTCCTTCCTTTAAAGTCCCATCAGCCTCGGATCGGATGAAGGCCAGGAAATATATGGGCCTTTGCCACAGATCACTTCTCCTTCTTTTTGAAGGTCTAATGGGATTGTTATGGAGCATCTCATTGCTTTATACAATAAAACACACCTGGACCCAATAATCCATTCATTTGTACATCAGCTCCCATTTTCTGTGGGGACAGGACAAATTAGACACTGCATTTTATCCTTAGTGCTCAAAGGAGCCTGAGCCATGAACACACTCACTCGGAAGAGCAGAGGGAGGGGATAGATGGCCAATTTGGATTCAGAGTAGAGCTTTTCCTTTCAGATTGGATGCATGCTACTGGAGGCCACTGTCAGCCGTGATCTGCATGATGGCTGTGACCAAGCAATGCAAAATGTCTTTCTTCCAAATCTCCCAGCTATGGGTCCACACAAGCTTCTTTGATTTTAAACTACCATGTTGGGGATTCCCGAAGTCAATAGGCTTTTACTCTCCATGCCCCTGGTGATATATCAGATTTGAGGGAAGGACAGTGATGCTATGTTTTAACAACAGAAGTTATTCATTTACATTTAAAGAAATAAAATATGTATAAAAGACACTAGCATGGGTGTCCAAAGACTTTAGTTCTAGCCTCAAGTCTGTGGCAAATAGCATTTGGTTTTGGCTCAGATTTAGTTTACTCAAAGAGTACATTCACCCCAGGATGAGCCCAAGTTGAGTGCCTAGAAGCTGCAGTTTCTTGATCTGGTCTCAATTCCACAAGCTGCCTGGACCAGAGCAGCTCCCTGCATTGAGTGTAATTCTTATTTTCAAAGGTACAAATCTTGCAAGTCAACTATTTCTTTTGGGGGGGGGTCAGAGAAATCACAATTTATTTCAGCACTAGGAGGGAAACTGTTGTTTTATCTACTGAGGTAATATGTTCATCTCTTTCAAGAACCTTCCTAATAGATTATCGAGTGTGATTTAACAACACTCTGTCTTCCTGTTACAAACAAACTTCATCCAATTTTCTTCCAAGGCCAAACTTCAATGTTGTAAGTTCTTACCTTATTAAAGAAAAAAAAGTTAAGTCAAATCAAGAGAAGAAGTGCTTAAACGTGTATTCCAACACAGACACATGGGTCTGGGCAATTACAACAGTCATTGATCTCTTAGCAGCTGAAAATAATAATAGCTACTCTCATGGAGATAGATCCTTGGAGTTAATAGTGCAATTCAATGTGCCTTATCACCTCTAATGGCTGGGTCTTTCATCCCCCCATTCAGTGTTAAGGGGTAGAGTGGGTGCCCCCTAAGAGATTCTGCCTAGAGAAGTCAGCAACTTGTTATCATTGCTCTCCAGGGAAAGAAGACCTACTATGCCCTTGTACTAGGTCTGTCGCATAATTTCTTGTCCAGATATCTGTATTGGTTGAAGGTGGCATACTACAAAGTCAGAGGATGAAAACATAAGAGAAAGAGACGGTGTTGAACAATCAAAAAAAAAAGTTCATTAGGTTTTCTTTTCAACCCCAAAGCTCAAAGTCCACCTATAATTCTATTTAAACCTTCAAAATCCCCTTCTTAAACATTTTACACATGTATCTCCCTTGTTCTAAGATTAAGTGCCAATACATTAACAAATTGGGCACTTAAAATACATTGGTGCTCTCTCAAACAGGCAGCTCTGAATGCCCACATCAGTTTAACCTCCACTAGGTGGCGCTCCGTATCAACGTAGTTTTTTAGTGTTTCCAGAAAGATCGCCTGGGGTTGCCAGTGGTTGAGGGTCTTTAACTTCCCAATACCACTATGTTCAAAGGGGAATGTTTGGGGAAGTCTAAAAAATTAGCTGTGCTTCAGAACTCTAAAGACTATCCGTTTAGTAAGTCCCATTGAGAAATAATGCTGTCATGTGATTGCAACACCTCTCAATAAACAAATAGTAACAATAAATTGGGATAGAAATGAGTTCCACATGTTGAGCTGATATACAATGAATCCAAATAAATTGTCTCTGTCTTTATTTAAAAACCAAGGCATACTGTTAAAATCATTACTAATGACAAGCAAAAGCAAACCATTAATTTATTTGGATGCTCCTAAAGCAAGAATTCCAGAGAGATAATGAAAGAAAGGAAGGGATTGATGGGGGGGGGGGCACCAAGAGAGAAAGGAAGGAGCAACACTGGCAAACAAGAAAGTAAGGCAAGTCCAGCTTGAGAAACAGAGGTGGGGTGATAAGAAAGATTTGACTGTGAGAGACTAAAAAGGTCTCCGAGAACAGAGTGGAGGCAGGACAATGTGAATCAGAGAAAGTAGTGAAATGGAAAAAGCCAATCAGGGTATACCTTGGGCAAAGCGTATTTCGGAAGCTTCATTTGGGCAAACGCATTCCTCCGGTAGGACACGTAGTAATGTGGTCTTCCTCCTGACGTCAGCTGTATTATAAAAACAAGGTTGTAAGAGGAGCTCTACCATAAAGGTCGCAGGTCACAGAAGTGCTACCTGAATGGAAGGAGTTGGTTGCCCACGCAGCAGAACGGATGCCCGTGCAGGCAAGTGTAAAGAATTGGCATTTAGTTCAAAAATCAGCCAATACACGGTATGTGTATTAGTCAGAGGCCCAAAGTGAACCCACTGTACAAAAATATATCTTTTAATTTGCACTGTAGCTCAGAAGCCAGAAAACATTCTCAGTTTTTTTTGTTTCCAAATGATATAAGCCTTAGAGTGTATCAGTTCCAGCCCAGCTCTCCAGCCCTATAACAGGTGCCTTTGCCATACCAGAAGGAAATGGTTCTGGTTGAATAGTGGAAGGGGAGCCTCACGTCTCTGGGCACCAGGGTCCCTTTTGATGAAGTCACACTGATGACTGTGGGCACATCCCACAGACAGAAACACCGGCCTGCTAGGCAGAAAGGCAAGCCAAGATCATGGTCCAAATCCATTTTAGGTGTCTTTAGAAAGAAATTGGGAAAATTTGAATCCTGATGGGTGGGAGAGAGAGAAAGAAGGGTTATATTCTCCCCGTAGGCACAGGCACCAGGCTGGACACAGTCTCTGCCAGCATCTCTCTCCTTGGTTGCTGCTCTAAATCTATGTGAATACCTGGACATGAAACGTTAGTGAGAGTTTGCATATTTAGAATGTCAACAAATACCTGGGGTAACGTTCATCAGACACTCAGGAGTGTGACAGGAAAGTTATCATCTGCATGGCCATTATGYGCAGATTGCCTCTTAGTCCTCTTTGTGGGTTAGAGAGAGTCATGTTTAAAGTGGCACAGATAGCAAACTATGTATGAATGCTGAATTGATTCTGATTTGCAAATTACAAATGCGGATTAGAAACGGTTACTAGAGACAAGAAAAGGTTCCTGGGAGAAGCACTGATAGAGAAATGAATTAGGCAGACCAATGTATGCAACTGTTTGAATGTCATTTGAAATTATGGGAGTATTCATTACTCATTTCCCTGAAAAAGAAGGAAATGGTGTGTGTGTGTGTGTGTGTGTGTGTGTGTGTGTGTGTGTGAGATCATTTATGAAACACTTAAAATTATAGAGGCTGATATGGAGCATTTTAAAAAATTCCTTCCTCAAAGCATGTGATTAAATCTTCTGAATCAAAATTTCTTGTCCGTATGTATATGTGCAGATACACAGTATGCATCAGCTATTTAGAAATTATACCTTTTTCATTATTAATGGAAAGCAATAACTGAATATTTAAATGCATTGTTCATACAGAACTAACATTTTCCTTAATTGCTCCAGAGAAGCAAAACACACTAACTCCCAGTGTCTTCTATCCACTAAGGAAACTGTTTCCCTTTTTTCACTTTCTTAGGAAGTGAAAAGCCTGGCTGAGCACATCTCATGCAAGGTCTCTTTATCCTAACTGCATTCAGTCCTGACAATCACGGTTGATTACTCTTACTCTGGCCTCTGCTGCCCACTCCCTCCAGGCAGCACAGTTTCCCTTCCCACCTTTCTCCCTACTCTTAAGTTGGTTCCAGGAAGGAGATGTCTAGCTTGGTATTCCCCTGATAGAAGAGCCTGGCATATTTGCACAGTCATGCAATGACTGGGAGCTGCTCTACAAATCAGATGAAGGGACAAATGGAACTGTGTGTCATTCTGGAGGCCACCTTCCTGCTTCAAGGTAGTGCCTGTGTGACCCGCTGATGTGGTTCTCTAGACATTGCCTGAGGATCAGCATGTACAGAAGCTTCCCACTCCATATGTTCCTTCCTTCCTTCTTTCCTCCCTCCCTTCCTTCCATTTTTACTCATAAGCCATGTGAGCAGGTGGAAACGCTGTGACAGACAGAAATAAGAGTGAGGGACAATCGGTACAAGTGGATCTTTCTTACCTGAACAAACACATAATCATCCTGGACAATCAAAGAGTCTGGGTCAATGTAGCCTGGGAAAGGTTTATTTCTGTTGGTTTCTGTGCAGTTCTGCATTCGGCAAGTAAGGTATTGTGAATCTGAAAAAAAAAAATGGGGTGGAGGTATACATGCAGCATTTTAGAGTCAGGGTAGATGGTGTATATTTCCCTTGCCATCTCCATGTCTTTAAACAAACCTCCAATCTTCACATTGGTAATTGCTGTCATTTTTGTTACGATTATTATCATTATTCTTCGACTCCCTTGCAATTACCATCAGCACCCTCTCCCTGTGGTCTCACCAACTGTTGCCATACCAGAATACTAAATATCTGTTCTTTAATTTTTTTCCCCCCAAACCTAGTGAAAATATTTTCCCAAACTGACATTTAATAATGCTTGTGATTTCGTAGTTACATTCTTCTCTTTAGCAGGCTTCCCCTCCATACTCTCACCTTTGACAGAATTAGGGAAACATATTAAGTCATTAACCATCTCAGGTGGAAGTGCTGTTGTTACAAATAATGATTCTTTAATAATATAAACATGTTTCTTCTAAGAATTAGAAATCAAACAGAATAGAGGGATTCCCATGAGTCAAAAACTTTGTTCTTACTTTTATAGATGAGTAAACTGAGCCTTGGATCTCACTAGAAATTACACCTGCTGATAAGCACAGTCTCCATATTGATAAATCACTCTTACATCAATTCTGTCTCCATTGCTGGAAGGAGGTGGTATTGGGGAAGCTATTTTTGTTTCTCAGTACTCAATATTCTGACCCCTATGTAATCAGATAGTTTCAGCTCTTACTTAAAATGGCTTTTGCCTCATTGCACCTAGAATAAATTCAAACTCTGCACTGCCCACCACTCCAACTTCCTTCTTCCTCCCACACTGATCTCTTTGTTTCTTGCTGTGAGTTTTCTAATTCAGCCTACTTTATGTTCAGGAACTTGGCCAAACTTTCCACCACATCAGAGGCATTTTATTTGTCTCTGCCTACAATACTTCTCCCCAGGCTGCTACCAAAGAAGGTTCTAGATTTCAGGTCACAGTTACTTCTAAGGATCTTCCCTGACTGCTCTGTATTATATGCCATCCCATTAATTCCCTCCATGGAATATCTCACAATAACAAATGTTAGTATTTTTTTTCTGWATCCTTTCCCAATTAGAATGTAATGTTCATGGAGACAGGTAACTTTATTTTTCTTTTTTCTTTACCCAAGCCTTGAGTTCCTGGAACATAATAGGCAATAAATGATTCTATGTTGAACAACACCTCTTTATTGGAATATATATTTTTAATTAAAAATGTATGGGTAAATTTGATTTTAAGAATTATAGATACATGCAGAAATCTGTTCTAAGTGAAAATATATGAAGGCCACAACTTATATGGAAAGGGGATGGACAGTAGCACATTGAAGAGGACATGAGTATTAACTAAATAATTTCAAAGAAATCAGCAGGGTTGAGTTTTTTTTATCGGTYGTTCAAAACATTACAAAGCTCATGACATATCATCTTTCACACATTTGACTCAAGTGGGTTATGACCACCTTCACATCGGGTATTCCATGCTCAACAAGAAGTGCCACTAGGGGGCGGCATGTACATTGGCCCCCATCTGACCAAAGAAGATGTAATTGCTGATAAGCTCACAGGCACCTGAAGAAACAGGGCTTTCCTCATCATCTTCCTCACCCTGCTGCCTTCTGTGGGTAGGGGGTAGCTCCCAAGTACCCCATCTGCTCCTGGTGAAACTACCTCCTAAGTTGAACTAAAGAGAGGACCTCTGCTGATTCTTTCCTGTCTCCTTTTCCTAGACCTTCCTGTGGTTCCATTTTAAAGCATAACTCAGGATATTTTTCCTTAAAAACAATAACTGGGACTCATCTCTTCTCCAAATGCCCCCCCCCCATAACACACAAGGTCTGTACAATTTCACACTCCACTCGACCTTTTTGATGCCTTTAAGTTACTTCATTTTCTCAAAAGGTACCTTGAGGTCAGAGATGATGAAAATCTGTGACTTTGAGATCTGAGCTTAGTTCTGCTGTGGCCATTTACTAGCTGCTTAGTTCAAAAGAAATCACTTCACTTTCCTGAACCTTGCTTCCTTCATCTATTAAATAGGGCTGACAATATAAATTATCTAGTAGATTGACTTATAGATAGGATTAATTATGGAATAGTACATGTGTTAAATGTTTTGAAATTCAAACTTGTTCAAATGCCAATTATATCAATAATGAGAACATTCTTGCTTTCTTTTTTGCTATCTGTCACAATGATGAGATCAACCTGGGCACATAACAGATCCTAAACAAAGCTGGTTAAGCTGAATTTGAATACTGTAACTATATTTCTGTATCAGGTACGGTTAGAGGCCTACTCAAACTCCATTCTTCTCCATTTGCTGGGGGAAAAAACCGTATTGGACAGACTCATCCTTCTTCCCTGTGACTCAGAACATCGCATAAGTAGGGAAGAATCCCACTGGGTTTAGGTCCACTCTGGGTTTTCCTAGTCCTCTTGGCATTCCTAGATTTAGAAGAGGGTATTTAAATCTAGCAGATACCAGGTGATACAGCAGAAGGCCCTCCTCTGCCTCTGGACTACACTGTGTCTCAATGTGGTGCTTCAAACTGCCCTACTGTCTTGATTATCTGAAGAAGCCAAGCTTTGCATGAAGCTTACATGATGAGTGTGAAAGACAGACAGAAAGTACCCTGATGACATCAGCTACTGACTCTACAGAGTCGAGAGCTGCCCTACTGCTTTGATTCTCCTTCCGTGAGATACTGAATAAAAACTATAGTCAAAGCTAACTGAATCAAAGGTTCTTGATCAGGAATTTTGGGGCCTCCAGTTACAAGTTTCACTGTAATTTTAGAGCTGATGTATAACTAGGGCTTCCTGATATATATATATATATTCCTTATCTTTTTTGAGATAGTATCCAGTAGTTTCTTTTTTAAACACTCACTATTGTCTTCATGGAGCCCCAAACAAACATAAGATGAAAAACACAAACATATACTTATCACATTCATAGCTCATCTATATGAAATTATAAATCTGAGGGACTGAGTAACATTTGTTGAGCAACACTATGCCAGACATTCTAAAGGATGTTCACATTTACTTGGTTCATTTAATCATCACAACACTGCAGACTATGATATATCAACTGATTTTTCAGATATGGAGAGTAAAACTCATGATTTATAGAAATGGCAGTATGGGGTTTTGACTTGGTTGGCCTGACTCCAACTTTGGTTTATTTCTACCACACTATGTGGCATGAAAAATCTCAGCAAGTTTCAGGCCAATTTTTTTGTCAAATATATTTTGGCTTCTATCAGAGTATCAAGGGATATCCCTAAATCCCAAGTGAAAACACCCATAAATTCATATTTTATGAGATAACTGGCAATAGGGATCAAGATACTTAAAAATCTTATCCTTTGGTCTTAGGTTCATCTCTGCGAATTCTAAGGGAATAATGATGTATGCAAGGAGGTGGCCACTTGGTTTTTCATCACAGGGAAGTATATATATATATATAAAATTAGAGAAAACAAAATGACCAATAGAGGGACAGTTAAATAAACATGGGACATGCATAGTTGGCTATTAAAATTCTGCTACTGTGAAGGGATATGTATTGAATTTTATATTATAAAAGGAAATTACCCATTAATAGTATGGCACCAAAGTGAATTTCTTAGTTTTGAATGGTATACCTTGGGTTATAAAAATGTGAACACTGAAGGAAACTGGGTGGAGAGTACATGTACTCTAAACTATCTCAGTAATTTTTCTACCTGAAATTATTCCAAAATAAAAGTTTTTAAAAAGTAGGTTACCACAATATGTGCATTATGGGTCTACTTTTTTTGGCAAGTTGTTTATATATAGATATCAATAGATGCATGCCTACTGAGGAAAAATGAATAAAACATTTATTTCAATAATAGAGGAAAAGCAGCAATGTAAGGAGGTTGGACAACCTGTGTACCCATCGCTGGTCCCATACCTCTCAGCTTGGTAGGTAGAGGAGAGTCTTTTGGGCTTATGAGACCAGCRTGTTCTGGGTTCCTCCAACCCATGCTGCATTCTGCAGTTGAGTTGTACCTGAGCCTGTCTTTGGGCTTTAGAATGACAAAGTATACATTTTGGTGATAGAGGAAAAGCCTCTGGAAGGAGTCTTTAAACCAATTCTTTCTCAGAATGGCTCAAAGTGAAATTTACAAGCTGAAGGGTAAATGATCCATTCTGAGCTGCCTGCCTGGTAAAGTGTTCCCCGGTTTGTTCCCTTTCTCCTTCTAATGGAAATAGAAAGAAATTGGCTGCAGTTCATAATGAGAGACCAATCACTCTCACTCCCCTAGGGCTTGCTGTAATAGCATTAAGTATGATGAACTCTTTCCATATTCAATTCTGGTGAGCGTATGATGCGATTCCATAGGAAGTGTCTTGTAATTTGGCATTAATTAATGTCAATTAATGTATGCAACTGCTCCACGTTAGAATTAATTTCATTACTTTTCTTACACAGATGTTTTCCTTGCCACAGGTAATTAGGACGCTGTGCCGCTCTTTCTGAGCATTCTCACTATTTGCAACAGCTGCTGATTGAAATAATGCAGTCCCCATCCACCCCAAACCTGTGCTGATCCAGAGAACTGGAGCTGCCTTTGCAAGGCCAGGCTTTGAGTAGAGAAATAAGGGTTTAGGCAGGCCTGAGGGCTACCTTGTGAACCTAAGCAAATCACTCATCCTCGCTAAATTCTGATCCATAAAATGGGAAAAAGTGATATCCACCTCACCGGTGGTTGTGACAATAGAAGACCTTAATCTGGAAACATGTTTAGCCTAGTGCCTGGTTAGACTGTGCTTAAATAGAGGTCGCTGTAATTTTTATTAAAGTCCTCTCTCTTTATTGCTCACTGTGTATCAAAGTGAACATCTATAAAGTATTACAGACATTTCTGAGACAGCATCTTTATTTGTATTCAAGGTTTGGTTTGGGTCAATTTTTTCGCCCTTCCTATGGAATCACAAAAGATCTCTTACACTCAAAGCTAT